GTTGAGTCAAATCGAAAAATTAATTTGATAATTTGCACGAATCCGAAGATCTGCACAATTCAAGTTGATTCGGACTTGATTAAAGTATCGCGACAAAATATCAAGTCCATTTTTCGACTTGACTCGACTTGACACTCAACTTGATTCAATTTAAGCTCTTCAACCCTTTCAGTCAGGCAATTGTGGTATGGGGCAATGAATCGCGTACTGCAGACTCTTTTTAACCCTCAACCCCCCCCCCCCCCTTCTGCCACCCCTTTTTTCCCACCCACATGCTAATCGATGAAACGAAAAAGTATGAATGAGCCGACGAGTTTATCGCGAGTCGAACCAATCGACTCAGCGCCAAGTTTATTTTATTTTTTTCTCCATTTATCTCCAGCTGCTCTCATTTTGTGTTGCCATTTCTACTCTCGCCAATTAAATTATTCGGCATGATATGAGAAAACGGCTCGAGGAGTTTGACGATTGATTTCATTATCTGACGAAAATAAATTACGACGAGTAAAAAATAGAGGAGTTATTTAGTACTTTGAATTTTTCTGTCTTAAATTATTGGATTAATTATATGTTTTTGAGGGATTGGAGCTGTGCGTTATGGATTGATTATTCAGGTAAAAATAAATATGGAGGCTTTTTGAATATTAATTATTTGAGAAAAATTGGGAGAATACTCTCGGATTGGTGAAATAAAGTCTGTGGGGATCAAGGAACTTTTTCAGTTTTCGATGCCAAATGAATCGAAGGAATGGGCGATTGATACGGAATTAATGTGAGATATAAACGAACAAAACTCATTCCCCAAGACATTGAAATCAATGAAAAGGGGATGAAATGAATTTTCCATTCTCTTCGGCTAGTGATAAACGTCGCGGTCTGGTGCTGTAAAAATATTCATGGGCATCCCCAAACCCTTCATTTCTCCCCCGAAATCGGTGAAATATGAAAGTTAGATTGGAGAATCACGTGAAAAATGTGTAAATCCCGCAGACTCGGAGCATTTCTCTCCATAATTCACGCAAAATAAATTTGTCTGCCGTGTCTGCTCGAAACGTTCTTATTCCACTTAAACTGTCGGAATAAAATTGACATTTTTTTACATTTGAAAAGATATAATTCTTTCCAATTCCAGAATTCCAGCAATTTCTCTCTGATGTTTTCACTTTTTAAAAAAAGTTTTTACTTTCATTTTACATTTGTTTTTTAATTAAAGTCATTAACTAAAAACATTATCACAGGATTTTCTATAATAAATCGTTGAATAGTCAATCGCAATGAATATTGATTGATAAAAATAGCAATAGTAATCATTTAATTATAAATCATCTATTCAATAAATTGAATCCCTAAAAATTATGCGGAAAATAATAATTTCCCATGTCTCCGCGTAGAAATAATTGTTTTGATCATCGCAGTGGGAACAGAGTGATATGGAAATGGAATTCACAGATCGAATTCATATACCCTGGAATCCTGTTCAGCCAATGGACATGTGGGCGGTTCATGTAATATTTACCGTGACCCCATTACGTTTTTTTCCCAATCCCTCCACAAATATCATAACCATTCTTACACCGAGGTGGGTATAAATAACCCAAATCCCATTGACTCGGATTACAAATAGCCAAAAACATCAAAGAATTTTCCCTCAAGTCCCCGGAAAATTTTCTAATGCTTTCGGTTGCTTTGGTTCCTTATCAGGCAGAAAATCATAATTTTTTACAATTCCAGCAATAATTTCTCTTTATTTTCGTCCATTGAAAATTAATTAAAATTAATCAATACTTTATTTCTATAATAGCATTTAATTCCTGTAAATTACACAGTTCAATTATTATTATTATTATGAATTTAATTATGATTTCTATAATTATCATAATGATAATAATAATAATTTTATTAATTTATATTATTATTATTGAAAAAAAAGGCGGAAAAATAGTTTTCACTGGTCGATTACACGAATTATTTGATAATTCATCGCGATATTTTTCCTGATATTTTTCTGGGCTTTTACCGTTGTTTCTCGAATGAAAACAAAGAAGAGCGGTAACAGGAATCAACAATCATGTTGAGAGACTTTTACTCTCTTTGATATAAATCAATAGAAGCACGCATCAGCAAACATTTTCTTTATCTCCCATTGTTTACCGTTTTTGTACTCCTGCTGAACAAGATTCTCAAGACGATCTTTGCTGGAGGGATATTTTGAGGGGGTGAAATGGTTATGGGGATTCACATACTCAGGCATTTGCGCAATTATATTTTCGAGGGTCGAGGGGTCATGAATGATGATGATTTTTATCATGAAAAAAGTTGACTGATTTCAGGGGCCTATGGTAATGAAAATTAATCGGCACAAAATTCTACGAATAAATAACTTTCTCCATTTTTTTTATTAAAGAATACGAAAAAATGATGATCAGTGAAATTATAAAAAATCCAAAACCGGGAGATATTTATTTTATAATGAAAATTAATTAATTTTGTAATGAAAATTAATGGGCACACAATTCTACGAATAAATAACTTTCTCCATTTTTTTTTTATTAAAGACTGCGATAAAATGATGATCAGTGAAATTATAAAAAATCCAAAACCGGGAGGTATTTATTTTATAATGAAAATTAATTAATTTTGTAATGAAAATTAATGGGCATAAAATTCTACGAATAAATAACTTTCTCCATTTTTTTTTATCAAAGACTGCGCAAAAATGATGATCAGTGAAATTATCAAAAATCCAAAACCGGGAGATATTTATTTTCGAGAACTTTCCGTCTATTCTATCAATTGATTATTCCATAAACTTCTCAATTCCGTAATTCTAATTTCTTGGAATTTCCTCTGAATTCTCCGTTGTCCCACAATGAATGAATTTTCGGAAAATATAAATTTTCCTCGGGCGCATTGAATTTTCGCGGAATAAAACCTCCAATTATCCCCATTCACTCAATTTTTTCCATCACTAATAACTTGGAACTCAGTTGAGAGATAATTACCGGCAATTTCCTAACGAACTCTATTTTTTTTTCTGGGAAAGGAGTGAATTCCTTCGGTGCATCCCCCGTATGGTTTTTTAATCTCCTGAATAATGGAGTTCTTGGAAATTTATTGAATTCACTTGACGTGAGTGCTCACGGTTAATTGACTCAATTCGTATGACTCGTTATATTATGGAGAGACAATGGCGTGACGTAGGGGTGGAATCGCCCTTGGCCCCTCGTGTTATCAGCTGCCACCTCTTGTTTGTTTTACCATGTATTTTATTTATCGCATATCCCCCCCTTTTCAACCCCAAGGGTTAACACGGATGATGCATTCGTTCAACTGCAATTTTCCTCGGTTTTTCTCGCTTTCACTTCATGTTTCAATTAATTTCACGATTAAAAAAATCTCGTTGTTTTTCACTTGAGGTTTAATCAATTAAATTTATTTAAAAAATGAATATATGTATATATATACATAGATATATATATATGCATATTTTGAATGTAGTAATTAATTAGAAATGCAGAAATTTGTTTTCCAAACGGAAGAATTCCTGGGGATTAAAAGTTCTTGTGGAAATTTCAAAAATTACGAAATTATGAATTTCCGAGTGAAAATGAGATCGGGTAGTTTTATGGGGGGAGGGGAAAATGGAATTTTGTCACGGAAAATGCTCGACACCACAAATTTCCGGGCATCCGAAGCAATTCCATTACCGCGTCCGAAAAATTTCCTTTCCAACTAAATTCAACGGAAAATATTGAAAGGGCGAGAATCGGCTGAAACGCAGACAAGAATAACAGACTCGGGTCGCATATCCGTTTTGCGTGTACGCGAGAGGGATGAGTAAGTCTGGCGGAAATAGTGGGAGGGTGTGGGATAAGAGGGTGAGTTTCAAGATGAAAGGGGACGAGGGGGTGGATTCTCCTTCGCTGAGCGGATATTCCCCTTCTTGCCATCCCTTCCCGCACAATCATCTCGTAAAAGGGGCAAAATTTCCGAGTAAATTCCGCCATAAATTCCCCCTCCCCCTTATTTTATTTTCTCCAAAGAAGAATTTAATTCGATTAGGTCATGAGAGGAAGATTTCGCTGAAGCCGCGCAAAATATTTTTTCCATTTCTTTGAAAATTCGTGGAAAGCTTTAGGTGTTCTACGAATTTTTTTCGGAGAATTTCGGAGGAGTTCCGGAAAATTCTCGTAATTTTTCGGGATTTATTCCCCCAAAATGACAGATCACTCCCAGCTCATTCCCGCCTCCCCCAAAATCCCGGAAAAACTCTCTCTCGAATTTTCCGAGCTCCAAAAATCATCAAAAAATTTCCAAAATCCTCAAAAATGGAGCCCGAAGAATTGACCACAAATATCGTACCCGTACCCCCCCTAAAATCCCTGAAACCCCCAAAGAATCAAAGCCAAAAATATATCCAAATCATCTCGACCTTCATTAACCTTCTCACAACAACAGACCCCCTCAGTCCATCCCCCCGAAGACCCCACTCCTGAATTTCCGGATTTCCAAAAGTTCCTGGAAAATTTCCAAAAAGCCCCCTCCCACCTTCTCAAAATGGAACTGCGAAAATTGACCAAAACTCCTGAAGTGGCGTCTAAACCCGCCAGGTCGGGGGGGGGGGGGTGTAAGCGGGTGTAAGAGGATGTGAGGGGGTGCGAGGGGGTGCGAGGGGGTCTCTATGGAGGGGAGGTGGGGGGACAGAAGGGATAAGAGAGGGAGGAAGGGAAAGAGGGGGATGGTGTCAGTGTTGTTGAGCAGGTGGGGTGGGGTGGGGTGGCTGGTGGGGTTTGAGACAGAGAAAACATAGTGTCGTATACGAGGGGGCGAGTGGGGAAGGGAGAGGATGGTGGTAGGGAGGGGTGTTCGGGGGTGGTATGCGCAACGCATTAAAACGATGACGCGGTATCGCGCAGCGTGGGTGTTAGTACTGGTGAGGGCGCCAGCCGGCTCGCTCCGCTCAAAACTAACCCAACCATCATCTCCACCCCGTGGCTTTTGCAAAACCGTTCGCCCCACCGCGCCCCACTGTGTTATATCCCAGGGTGGTGCGGACCGAATGTACCACCTCTGCCCTCCACCCTCCAACCTCCCCAACCCCCCTCATCACCCAATAATACCGTAGGAGCAACCCCGAAGCTGCTCCATCACCATCAGCTGCAGACGCTACGTTAAAGGCTCATCATTCGCTTCACAAAAAGACCACGAAAAAAGAAAAAAAAAAAAAGAAAACATTTTCCAAAATTCCCATTCACCACGAAAAATCCACAAAATTCCGAATAACCACGAGATAAGTGAAGCATTGGAAAAGTCAACGGGGGAATATTGATGGGCAACAACAGCCCGCCGCAGTGAAAATATACAAAAATATTCGTAATCGCGGATTTTCCGTTTGTTTACGTCGACGGTGTTGATGGGTGGGTGAACATTTGGATATCCCGGAAGTGCCTGAAGAGGATTACATCGATCAATTGACAGGTGTTTTATGTATCAGCCTAAATCAGCGGTATTCACACTTGTCGGTGAAATCCCGTAATATTGCCGATGGTATGTGCAGGTGGGGGTGGAAATTTCTTAGTTATTTGAATAATGCTGAGAGTATATTTGGGGGATAAAGTTGAGTAAACTGTTGGTGAATTGAATAAAATCCTCACGGGTGGTCGTTGAGAGAGTGAAAGTGGTAGAAGTGAGGTATCGCGAGTGACTGACGAATTGCCAGAGGTATAAAAAGGGGAATAAGAGGAATAAAAAATACGTGAGAAAGCCGAAGCGAGGAATAAACGTGAGGGACAACGGGGAGAAGTAAAACAGTTAAGAGTCCATTTAATGAGAATGGAAAAAAAAAATAGTACAAGTGGATATTCATTCGCTTGAAGCCGTTGGTCTCTCCATGACGGCCTGCTAACGGGAAAAAAATAGAGAAGAAAATAAATAAATCATACCGATAATCCGCGGATAACAATTAGCCGACTAGTGACGTCATAAAGTGGGTAAAAACGGCATCAAGAATAGAGAGACAAAGCTGGCGGAGGAGGAGACGGAGGAGGATAGAGTGTACTTCGCTGTTAGTCCATCACACTTGGTCGTGCAAAAGTACGCGATACTGGACACCATCGGTACTGAGTAAAAGTACATCCCTTTACGGTGTACATCAACGTTTGTTTATCACAGCAACGTCGAATCATCGACGTCGACGCAACATCAGTCGTACGTAAAACGAGAGAAATTTCACTTAGCGATACGATTGATCGTATTGTGAATCCAGTGGGCATTATTCCCTGGATTCTACAACACCTTGTAGATTAGACAGCACAGAGTTAATCACGTATCTATGATTTTTATTAAAACGTGTAAACATATTTTTTATGCACTTTTGAGACACCTGTTGATTACACCGGAATCCAACGTACGGTACATTTCGACCTGTCATTCGACTCGGACACGATACGAGATAAAAGCCATTTAGCTCGGGCTAATCACACGTTTCATTAATTTTCTCTTTAATTTTTCTTTCAATGGATTCATTTAACCGAGAGAGAGAGATAAACTGTTAATGCACATTGTTATATTGATTATGTGAGTGTTATTGTTGTTGAATGATAAGATATTAATCGATTATTGTACGATCGAGATACGGAGCACTCGTGTTTTAAATGTTTAATTTGTATCAATAATTTATTGTAATGCACCACTTGATTTGTCCAGCACCTCTGACGCACACGTTGTTAATTGATCTCATGAATTTTTATGACAATTAAATCAACAATGAGCACCATGCAAGCCTTAGCATGTAAGCGCACACCTACATAAACAAAATGTACCTATTCGTAACGAGAATACCGATAATTAACGAGTGATAGATAATTTACGGATACCTAGGAGTAAACAAATAAAAAAAAAAACGTTACAAATTATATTACAAAGATATATATTGAATTAATGGTGATTATCTATACACACAGATGTAATATATATTAATACATGGGCATATATATTTATGTACTTAGATGCCGTCCAATGAGAAATGCCTAGATATACATGATAACTGTTGATTATATACATAGAGATATAGAGTGAATAGATATATTTGTACGTAATTTACATAATTTGTTAACGAGAGGTGACAAATATTAGGGAGTGATTAGACGTGATTATTGTAATTGCGACATACGCAATGTTGAGGATATCATAGATAAGATAGAGTAATAGACGAGTGGGATAACAAGTACAGAATTTGAATAGATAGATTGAATAGATATTTGGGGTGTCGAAGGGGATGAGGGATTGGTGATACGTCGGTTTCATCGTGGACAGGGTGAAGAGGGGGTTGTCAAAAAGGGGTGACAAGGGGTGACAAGGGGTGAAAAGGGGGAAAAAATTGGGATAAAGGGGGAAAAAGGGGAGAAAGGGGAATAAAGGAGAAAAAGGGCTAAAGTAACTAGTCCTTTGACAATTGAATAATTAACAGTGATTCGCCACCTGTGACAGAATATGACAATTAAATCGTGATTAACATTTTTAATTAGCCCGTCGGATAATGATCAACAAATGGATTTCACACTTTTATTTAATTGCACCAATAATCACCTGCACTTTAATCACTGACAAATCACTGATTATGACTGCTGAGAGCACCAACAGCACCGCAATGCGTTATCACCATCACATTAAATTATTCAAGTGCAATAATCATACGGTTATAACCACCTGATTTCAGGTTGTCGAGTGCTGAGGTACGTGACTAAATCATCGTAAATTGAGTGTTTGAGAGATTTGAGATAATCGGTGGTGAGGTTACAAAAAAAAAAGGAAAGGAAAAGAAAAAAAAAAAGTGAAAACATCGAGAGGAAAGTTCAACAGCGTGAACCAAGTTGTTGACAGTTGATTCTATTGGCTCTGTTTTGGATCAATTGTCGGGGACTTTTTTGTTTCGTCTTTTGGTCTTTTAACCTCTCGTCTGTTACAATCTGACCTCTTCCTCCTGTCCTTTTCCGCCCTTATTTTTTTCTCCTCTCATTTTTCCCTGTCTTCTTCCTCTGTGGCGCGCGCAATCACCAGTTCCCCTCGAAACCTACCAATCTTCCTCTTATTATTTCTCTCTCAATAACTTTTTTCCTCCCTCAATCTCCTCTCTTCGATTTTTTTTCACTCCCTCCTTTGCCCTCGTCGTTTTATTTTCTCTCTCTCTTTTTTTTTTTTTAATACTCGAATCACGTACAAAGCGGCGTGCGTCGATGCCTGAATAAAACTTGGCTAAACAAAGAAGAGGAAACGTTAGACGGATCGATTTTGAAAGTGGTGGTTGGTTGGCAACGTATTTTCCGCGTAGGTGGAAAAAACAAGTGGTCGCAAGCGTCTCGAGTGGAAATCACGATTGTTTTGAACAATCAATTGATAAATATCACCGAAGCAAGACGCATCTGCCGCGTTGGATACACTTTGTAAAAAGAAGAAGAAGAAAAAAGTACAATAGAAAATTGTTAATGAAAAAATTGAGAGATATGGCTTGTCACATGATATGGCTGTTCGGTTATGTGAGCCTTGGATTGGCACTGACACTTGGCAATCGACCGGTTGTCCACAATCAGCGATTGCAGGTTAGATCGAGATACGATCATCGATCGAGAGGCTCCAATGATCTGCCACTGGTTACCAATACCAACGGTGCATTTGGCAATAATGATAGAATTGATAAGAATTCGGACATGGAGTCCTACAGATTTGGAGTTGAATCTGTACCTTACGATCTGCCACCCGATTGGCTAGTGTATGACAGAAATCCATGGAATTATGATAAAGATAGAGTTGATAATCGGCGAAATGGTGTCTACGATGATGGAGTTATCGATGATTTCACTAGTGCTGTTATTGAGACACTTTATCCACGCAATGATAGATTGAGTGGTGATTATTTTGATGACAGAGTGGATGGTACGTTGAAAAGTGTTAATGATAGAACAACAGTACACGATGGTACAAGTGATAATGCGCTTCCAATTGATAATCAATATGATTTTATGAAAAAACGTATGGGTAGGGATGAGGTACGGGGTGGGTCGATGACAAATGGTGTATTACCGGTGAAAAATTCACGATCCACTGGTGATCGTGGTGTATGGCAGAATGATGATGATGCCAGAAGAAATGATGATGGCAATGTTAGGATGATGGGTAAACGTAATTATGGAAGTGCTACTGGACGGAGAAGGTCAGCTGGTGATTCACGGGGACAAACGAACCTTCAAGTACAGGGACAATCTTCGTCCCCTCTGTCATCATCATCTGGTGGAAATGTTGGTGGTATCGCGTCACAATTCATGCTGAGGGCATCACGGGGAAATCGACAATACGACGTACCACAAATTGGTGAGTGTTTTTTTCACTGTTATTTTCTCTTATACCGTTGTTTCACCTCTCCTCCCGCCAATCGCTCACTATTTTTTCCCTCTGTTCGTTTCTCTTCTTCTCTTTTCGTCGATTTTTTTTTTCCTGCGGTTTTACCTATCATCAGTGCCGTCGTATAATTGGGAAATTATTTTATGAGATGTATAGAGACGCTATGAGTCATTGCTGAGACTGAAATGGGGTTGGCTTTCAGTTCTCGGTGGTTTTATCGGGGGTGAATATTGGGGGGGTGAAAAATTCAGTGGATCCAGCCGTATGTGTTGTGGATAATGTGATTTATTTATTTTTTATACATTCAGTCGGCTGACGGAATCAAATGGCGAGTGGTTTTAGTCTGTCTGTTCAAGTCTTTTGGATATTGGAATTGATTTTTTTATTTTAGATACTAGATATTCAATTTATTTGGACGTATTTTAATATATTAACAACGCAATCCAATAATATTGTGGATATTGGGGCTTGGAATAATTTTTGGTGGGAGTTGAATTTGAGTGCGGAATAATGACGTAATGAATCTCGGAATTGTAGGATCTCGGGGGATATCTAGGAACTTCGATCCGACTCATCCCCACACCTCACCCTTTTCCATCTTCGCTATTTTTTTGGTTCATCGGTCTGTGTTTCAGCCTTTTGCGTGGGCCACCAATTCCCTTCTCATACGCCCGCGCTCTTTTTCCTCTCATCCCCTTTTTTTCATCCCTTTTTTATCCCTGTCTCCTACTTTACTGCCGAGTCCGTACAGCTTTTTGCCCAGTGGGGGTGTGTCTGTACATCGACTCGCCCACGCAAATACTTCTTTTTTTTTCCCTTGATTTAGAGGGCCGATGGACCGAACCCGGTCCCTGAATAAAAGTCCAAATGTGCATTTCGCATTGTTCGGACAAATCTCCATTCTTCACTTTTTTTTTCTATTCCGCCTCTGTTTTCTCCGCCACTTGCGCATTCTTTTAGATTTTATTTCTTTTTCTTTTTATTTTTTTTTCTATTTGTTAGTGACGCGAAGCTCGGGATAATGGCTGGAGAGATGAATGGGGAATATGCTCCGGGCTTTTTCGCGAATTTGCTGCGGGTTAATCTCTGAATTTTCGAGACTTGAGACCGTCACATGTTCTGATAAATACACAGAGTAATTATCAGCTCCTCTGTTGGCAATTTACTCGGGGAATTTTCGTACCGATGAATCTTTCCGGGGATCACAACAATAATACATTTCTCCTTCATTTTTACTGATTTTTCGTAACTTCCGCGGACTGAATTCATAAGCTCTATATTTTATTCAATAATAATATTACCCCTCAAAATATTATAGTGTAAATATATTACGTCGCGAAAATATTAATCCGAAAAATGTTACGAGTCGAGATATTATGATACCGTTATATTATTTTTAAAAATATTACAAATGAAAGGATTATTATATTAATTGTTTACTGCGCAGAAGTATTGTAATGGCGAGATATTGTTGCCCTCAATTATTTTTGAATCAATATCCCTAAGTCGATTATTCTGATTTGCCTGAGCGAGCTGGGGATAACTTTTGTGTACGTTAAGAAATCGATATATTTTGCAGGACGATTTCTATTGATTGAATTCGTCATTCAGTGTCTTCCTCTGTGGAGTATCTCCGAGGCGTCAGTCAGCCATTTTTTGAGATGAAATTTTAAGATGTGTCATTTTAACATCCTAAAATGATTGATTTCATCCCGAATTTCGTTTTTTCGATTTCGGAAATCGGTAAAATTCTCGGTTTCAAAGATTGAACTGAAAATTTTCGCATAAACTAATGGAATGAAAAATCGGGTATTTTATCATTCGCGCTAGGATGGAGCGATAAAACCACTGAAATATTTTATTTATCACCGATTTCGCGAAGTTTCAGGGGAAGTTAAAGATTAAGTTGAAGATTAGGATGAAAATAGTCAACAGTTCATTTGAAAACTTCCTGAAATGATCCATAATTTCGTGAAGTTTCTGGAGAAGTTTTACAATCGGATATTGGCGGAATATATCGGATAGATCGCTTCCACCACTGCAATGACCCGCATCGTCAATCCATCTCTCGATTATCAATGAATTCTCGAATCTCCCTTTTCCTTTTTCTCGGTTGAATGAGGTCATCGGGGTTATTCTTGGCTCTCGATCTATATCTGCGTGATAATGGATCGAGGACGAAAGCTCGGGCTTTGATTTATCGTTCTGATATGCCTGTGGCGCATCTTTTTCTCGTCAACGCGCGAGGGTGAAAGAATTCCTGAGGTATAAATAAACCGGGGGTTAAATCGAAAACGTCGAATCACTCCTGAAATAGTCAACTCTGATGTCTCATCAATGGGCAAAAAAGTCGATTTTTTTTTACAAAGCAAGAGATTCATTTTTATCATGGCGAGAATTTTTTTTATTAATTTTTTAGATTGACAATTTTCTTTGACATTTCTCTTGCTCTTTGAAATTTTCCTCTTTTCCCTTCAAATAAATAAAGACTGCCATTTTTATTTTTGTTACACACCAAAAGAAATCGGGGGTGCGAATTACTCTCAAAGAACAGGCTGCTCAGTTTTTATTTAATGAATACTTCAAAAGATATTTAACAATTGGAAATTATTTTATTTTATTTAAATATTCTACATATTTTTTGATACTATCTGAGAGGTTTTTCCCGTCACCTTTGAAATCCTTATTATGTTTCCTTATTATGAAAGTAGAAACACAAAAATGAAGTTCGCCCGAGTCGAAATATCTCGAAACGCGAAGGACGAATCTCATTGGTCAGCTCGAACCGCCAAATTCGAATTCGACGCACGGAGTGCGCAGTAGGTCTCGTGACTACAAACAAGGGCCGGAGATATGAGGTATAGTTTCCATCCTTGGAACAGAAACAATAAAATCATTGGCCCCAACCCGGTATAGAGTCAATAAATGTTTGATGACGCAAATTGTTTCGTAATGTCGATTCTCAGGGTGGAAAATTACCACATGGTCCAGATTAAGTGTCCTTCGCCCCAAGAAAACCATAATATTGACAAATTTCATTGATTCGCGCATCGAAAATTTATTCTCCGTTTTAGACATTGCGGATTCATCGAGTATAAAATTCACTCTTTCCTAGTTCTCCATTTTTGAAAAGATGACTTATCATTTTCCTTCTAAGTCGTAATTTATCAAATGGGAATTCGTAATTAAAGTGTCCGATCTAGTAATTTATGAAATTGCCCTCGTAATTTACGATTTAAAAATCATAATTTACGTTTCCAAACTTCTAATTGACGATTTTTAAAATTGATAATTAACGAAATCAGAAACTTTCGGAATTACGATTGATTTCTCGATTACAATTGGTGTTAAAAGAAACACAATTACTCAGGTAATTGAAATGTTATTTTGTTTGGCATGACATATATATATTTTCTGAGGGCTATGTTCTGGGGTTGCTCCAACCCCTGCGTCATGCAGCAGAGATTTTCCAACCCCCCGGCAATCCAAAAATTCCCCAACTCTTGATTGAATTCAATCTCACCTCCATATTATTTCCATTCTCAATGGCCATTGCTCAAGAGTATGCCTAATTAAGGATACATTATGTAAATTAAATCGGGCGTTAATGAATTTTACTCTGGAATTCGAGGGGGTGACATTTTCATCCATATTAATGAATCGCAAATAGTTTTTCATTCACTCTCTTATTCAGAATGAGTGAAAACTTTTGGAGGAAGAAACTCGAGGTTTATGAATAATTAAAACTACAACGTGAATGCATGAATGAGTTCTCCCAATGATCACTAAATTTTCTGGCTCGATCAATTATTCTGAAATTCAAGAAAATTGATGGAAATGGAAATTTTCCAGGATTCAATTAAATCATGAATTTACATTTTTTTATTCATCTTTTAAAAATCCATTTCAATTTTATGGCGATAATTATCAATCCATTAAAAATCTTATAACAGATTTTCCAGAGTTTTTTGCAAATTCTATCGATTTTTCCCGACAAATTGTCCAGAATAAATAATCGAGAGTGAAAAATCGGTTTTTCGTCTTGAAATTCCCCAACGCATTGACGTGGAATTTTCTAGATTGTCAATCAACAGTCGCTGACAGCTTGAATGAATATTCCCCTGTCAACCAATTACGAACAAAAATATTCGACTCGATAATCTCGCGTCATCCATATCGATATTCCAATAACTCTCGTCATCATTACCCCATTATTGATAAATCTATCGATATAAATACGCGCTTGCCGTGTAATAACGCCATTAAATCGCATTAGCCGATCATAAAGATAACGGCGTACCTCCAATACCTCATGAATTATATCGACTTCCCCTCCGAAACACTAATAAGTCTTCAAAGGTTTGCGCACTTGTTGCTTCTTTCCTATCTGCGTGCGCCGCATTAAATATATTTCCCTCCTAAATATTCCAACAAAAATTTCAACAAAGTTTCCTCAACACCACATAAAAAAATAAAAAATTCACCAAACGCCTAGCGAGTAACAAATCATTACCGATTTTTACCTACCGCACTTTCGTTTTACGCTTGACGTGAATAAATCGTTAAATTTACTCCGCGATCTGCGCAATTTTACTTTCACCTCGCGGTTTTTTTGGTTTTACACGATTTGGGGGTTTCTATAAAATTTTCGGTGAATTTTTCGTGAAAAATCGATCATTTGAGGTGAATATGGTTTTATCGATTTTCTAAATGGATTACTCCCAGAAAATACTGAATTATTTCATGAAAATTGATGGAAATCCGGAAAATCCAGATACATCGGGAAATGTGATCCTCCAGATGCTCCACAATTTAAATATCTCGCGAACTTAACGAATTCACTGAAACCAATTGCCACCCTCAATCTCTCCTTTAATATGAAAATTAAATTAATTATAATAAAATGCAGAACGACTTAATGAAAATTTTCCCTCTGATTCTTGTACGACTCCTTTACAACTGACACTGAA